GAACTTGTAACCGATGTCCTGCTATATAAACTGAGGATGGGAGTTCTCGGCTGTCAAAAGTTAAACGAGCCACATTGCTAGGGTATCGTCTCCGCCCACGGGCAGGAAGAACGTAAGTGTCTACCTTGAGGATTGGGAGATCTTGGAGTTCCAGCTGTTCTAGAATGTCGGTGCCACATGTCTGGAAATTTTGTTGAACTATGGTATGGGGCAGAATGACGGTACCACTACAAGAATTGAGGGAATGATGTTTTTCAAGGGTGACAGGAACAGTATCTATATGGGAAAGACGAGAGAGCTCACGAGCCTGGGTAGCATTCTGTACGGTAATGATGCGCGTACCGCTCTTAAGAGCATGAAAAGAAATATCTTTACCAACATGGCGTAGAAGTGCCTTGCCAATACTATGGTCAGAAAGATAGGCAGTAGAGGAAGTTGGTCGTAAAAGTGAAGAATTTAGTCCACTGTTCAGTCTGAAACTGAGCGTGGAAAGGTAGTGAAGGACGTGTCGATCGTTTCTGAGAAAGAACGAGAAGGTGAAGGTGGAGAAGTATCATCAGCAGGTAATTGTCGTTGACGTTTAGGCGTGGGACCAGAGTTGGTCCGACGTGGAACGGGTCGGCGATTTGAAAATTGCCGCACCGTAGAGGGAGAGGCCGGAAGCATAGTCAGGGGAGAGCGAAGGTCTGATAAATCGAAGGAGTCAGTCGAGGCCTCAGTACCTGAAGCGGGTGAGGAAACAGCACCGGCAATAGGTACAGAGGCATGAGGAATGTCTGAAGAGTGGTCCAAAGACGAGGCGGGGGTCAGAACGGGGTGCGGTATCAAGAAGGGGCCCGGGGGTACCAGGTTCATGGACTAGGGCTGCCATGGTTAGGTTACTTCTTTCTTTTTGTTTTTAAGAAAAAAAAAGAAAAAAGAAAAGAAAATAAAAATAAAAAAAAAGGGGGACCGGGGAGGGATAGTTCCTAGGAGGAATGAAAGGGCCAGAAATCTCCCTCCGCGCCCAAGAGGACCTCAGCACCGCAAGTAGCGCAGATGCAGCATGGAACCCGTGCCATACCCTACCCATCATGCTAGTAAACTAACAATCCGGGATAGCAACCTCACATCTGCCGAGCTACCTCGGTGGACAAAAGAGAGGGCGGCCGGATATCCGCCACAAAGCATACCTCCTTCGGCCACCACCCCCGGAATCCGAAAGGTGGCTTCCAGAGATACACTCGTCGCCCGAAAGACACCCAAAGCTACTCCGGGATACCGGAGAGGGATCGGGACATCCCCAGGCGATCCAGATTCCACGGCAAACTACGCCACCGCTAAGAACCTCAACGGAATGGGATGGACCCCGGTATCCTTTCTCCTACCCAGGAACTAGCGCGCCTGTGGGAGAAATCCCAAAGGACAAAAAGAGGAAGGGCAAAAGGGAGGAGTGGGGAGGAGGAGGAGGAAAGGAAAAAGGGGAGGATGGGGAGGATGGGATAGGGGAGGGGAGATTGGGGGGTAATTAGGTTCGGTCTGAGGAAGAAGACCGATAGGTCTAATTCCTCAGACCAAGAGCCTCTTCGCCACGCCAAGGAGCCCCCCTTGAAGAGGACAAGTATCTGTAGAATGTTGTCCATGTCTACACAAGTATTTGTAGAATGTTGTCCATGTCTACACAAGTATTTGTAGAATGTTGTCCATGTCTACACAAGTATCTGTAGAATGTTGTCCATGTCTACACAAGTATCTGTAGAATGGTGTCCATGTCTACACAAGTATCTGTAGAATGGTGTCCATGTCTACACAAGTATCTGTAGAATGTTGTCCATGTCTACACAAGTATCTGTAGAATGGTGTCCATGTCTACACAAGTATCTGTAGAATGGTGTCCATGTCTACACAAGTATCTGTAGAATGTTGTCCATGTCTACACAAGTATCTGTAGAATGTTGTCCATGTCTACACAAGTAACTGTAGAATGTTGCCCATGTCTACACAAGTATCTGTAGAATATTGTCCATGTCTACACAAGTATCTGTAGAATGTTGTCCATGTCTAAACAAGTATCTGTAGAATGGTGTCCATGTCTACACAAGTATCTGTAGAATGGTGTCCATGTCTACACAAGTAACTGTAGAATGTTGTCCATGTCTACACAAGTAACTGTAGAATGTTGTCCATGTCTACACTATCTGTAGAAAGGTGTCCATGTCTACACAAGTAACTGTAGAATGTTGTCCATGTCTACACAAGTATCTGTAGAATGTTGTCCATGTCTACACAAGTAACTGTAGAATGTTGTCCATGTCTACACAAGTAACTGTAGAATGTTGTCCATGTCTACACAAGTAACTGTAGAATGTTGTCCATGTCTACACAAGTAACTGTAGAATGTGTTTGTGGTGATCCATGATGTTGATTTGGTATGTTCTTTGTATTTTCTACAGATGTACTTGGTAATGCTGGTGGGTCCTCAGAAGAAACATCATCTGGTAGTGGTACTTGGTAATGCTGGTGGGTCCTCAGAAGAAACATCATCTGGTAGTGGTACTTGGTAATGCTGGTGGGTCCTCAGAAGAAACATCATCTGGTAGTGGTACTTGGTACTTTTCTGTACTCGACTGAAGAAGCCTACTGTGTAGGCGAAACGTTTCGAAATAAAGATTCCTAACTGTTGCATATGGACAACATTCTACAGTTACTTGTGTAGACATGGACAACATTCTACAGATACTTGTGTAGACATGGACAACATTCTACAGATACTTGTGTAGACATGGACAACATTCTACAGATACTTGTGTAGACATGGACAACATTCTACAGTTACTTGTGTAGACATGGACAACATTCTACAGTTACTTGTGTAGACATGGACAACATTCTACAGTTACTTGTGTAGACATGGACAACATTCTACAAATACTTGTGTAGACATGGACAACATTCTACAAATACTTGTGTAGACATGGACAACATTCTACAAATACTTGTGTAGACATGGACAACATTCTACAGATACTTGTGTAGACATGGACAACATTCTACAGATACTTGTGTAGACATGGACAACATTCTACAGTTACTTGTGTAGACATGGACAACATTCTACAGATACTTGTGTAGACATGGACAACATTCTACAGTTACTTGTGTAGACATGGACAACATTCTACAGATACTTGTGTAGACATGGACAACATTCTACAGATACTTGTGTAGACATGGACAACATTCTACAGATACTTGTGTAGACATGGACAACATTCTACAGATACTTGTGTAGACATGGACAGTGAAGCTCCAGCATGTGATTCAGACGCAGCCAAGTGGTTTCCTGTCAGTGAAAACCATGTGTACTTTTGGTCAGCTACCACCATAGATACCGTAAGCTTGACACCAAAGATATAAATAAATACACATCCGTAATTATTATAGTGTAGATGGAATATATTCCAAACTGAAAATTATAGTTATTCTCAAATTCAATAAAATTGAGAAAAATAATATCAGACGTCTTGGAAACCTAATATATTTTGAAAACCTGCAATTTAATTTTCATGTTTAGGTAGAGGTCGTTTTGATAAGGACCTGCCTCGTATGGGCCAGTAGGCATTCTGCAGTGTTCCTACATTCTTATGTTCTTATGTTGAAGGCCCCTTGAGCCTAAAATGCCCCAGATCCCCCAAGGTCTAAATCCAGCCCTGCCAAGTATGGGCCAGTAGGCCTGTTGCAGTGTTCCTCCTTTCTTATTCAAAGGGAGAGGCGAGTGGGGGGTACCTTTTCTATTTTCTGATGCTCCTCACACACACTTTATTTGCTAATTCCATTTATTAGTTAAACTAACATTTTATTATAAAGGAAGTCTGTTGTCTGGGAGCCCCTCTAACAGGGAGGCCCGGGGGCAATTACCCCTTCATAAATCCGGCCCTGATTCGACCCCTGTAACCACACGTAGGTGAGAGTACACAAAACACAATCACTTCAATAGTTTGAAAAACCTCTGACACTGTTCTTTTGCTTTGCATATATCCTTGGTTAGGCCTCATTTAGACTATGCTGCTCAGTTCTGGTCACTGTATTACAGAATGGATATAAATGTTCTGGAAAACGTACAAAGGATGACAAAGTTGATCCCATGTATCAGAAATCTTCCCTATGAGGATAGACTGAGGCCCTGAATCTGCACTCTCTCGAAAGGCGCAGAATTAGGGGGGATATGATCGAGGTGTATAAATGGGAAACAGGAATAAATAAAGGGGATGTAAATAGCGTGCTGAAAATTTCCAGCCAAGACAGGACTCGCAGCAATGGTTTCAAGTTGGAAAAATTCAGATTCAGGAAGGATATAGGAAAGCACTGGTTTGGTAATAGAGTTGTGGATGAGTGGAACAAACTCCCGAGTACAGCTATTCAGGCTAAAACGTTGTGTAGTTTTAAAAATAGGTTAGATAACTACATGAGTGAGTGTGAGTTGGACCTGATTAGCTTGTGCTGCTGGGTCTGGTACAGTGCTCCATCCTTGAGTGGAGGTGACCAGACTGAGTGGGTCATTGGGCTAATCGGGGGGTGGGGGGGTCATGACCTGCTCCACATGGGTCAGTAGGCCTGTTGCAGTGTTCCTTCTTTATGTTCTTATGTAAACCCATAATATAATACCTGGCCCTATCCTCATGGCCATGCTGAAGTGTCCCAGCTCAGACTGACACATTTCAACACTGTTTATGGTCCCCATCCTTCCTGGTGCAATATTTCAGGGACAACTTAAATATTTACTCCCACTGTGTAGCTATCCTATAGAATAGGGCAGTAGCATACTGCTGATGCCTCCAGTTTCGTTACAAAAGTTGGAATGGGAGACTTCTCTACCTCCTGAGATAAAACATAATTACTATTATTACTACAAGTACATGATACAACTTATACAGACCATAGCTGACATCAGTGACATAATATATAGAAAATTTCTTGTTATACACAGCATTTCGGGCGACTTACGTTAATTTTGTCCCCAGGTACCTACTTGCTGCTGGACGAAGAGACGCAAGATGTCTTAAGGAAACACGCCCAATGTTTCCACCCGTCCCGGGGATCGAACCATGGGACACAATGTGAGAAGAGTGCGCTTCCAACCGAGCAACGGGACAGCCTTAAAAAACTAGATCTTCCAACACTCTGCGAGAGTATGTTAATGTACTTAGCATACAGCAAAAAACGTAAAAGGTGTATAGAAAATCTATGTAAATGAATTTACCAATATCGTGTTGACATTCTTGAGAGAGATGGATAATCCAGGTTGCATGACAACGTTTCGCCCTGTGTAGAGCTTTATCAAGTCGTTTCTCTATGTGGAGCTTTATGATGTTATGTTTCACTCTCTGTAAATCCTTAAACATTGCTTTACTCTATGCAGAACTTTTTTTTTACTCAGGGTTTGACAAGGTTAAGGATCCCTAGCTTTATTGACAGCTATTTACAGGTTAAGGATTCCTAACTTTATTGGCAAGCTAAGAGCTGTTACCTACATCAGCTCATTTGAAAGCTTTTTAAGTCGTGACTTGATTACTCTCCATAAAGCCTTTACCTCCCTTATGTTGGCAATACGCCATTTACATCTACTCCTAAGAGTGCTTAAAATACGCCAGCATTATGAACATCAAAATGGTATGCAATACCGACAGGTTGTTAGGTAAGACTATCAGATAGTTCCTGACCATGGAACTGAACTTCTCCAGGCCGAGGGACTGACAACCTCAAATTCTACGACTTCAAGGGTGATGGACTGATTACATCGTCTTCACATCTCTACTGTTCCTGCCTACTTTCTGTATTCGACTGAAGAAGCCTACTGTGTAGGCGAAACGTTTCGGAATAAAGTTGTCTAACTGTTGCATATGTCTTACCACGCCAGCATTAGCGTATACTCCCACATACCACCTGTCTGGGGTCCCAATATATCTTAGGAATTCTTGCGTAGTACTCAACATTCCAGTCAGAATCAATAGCTAAGATTCGTAAATCTTACCAAAGGTTCTCCTTGCTTCCCCCGCCTAGACCAACAGGATTTCTAAGAGGAATCTGAGGATACTATCCTCAAGAGGGTCAGATTTATAGGCAGTGTGATGAATGGCAGGCTATTGCAACCTGCTAGATATATTCATCACATTTGTCAGACACTGCAACATCATGGGATCTTGGTACAAAGACTTCAACGCTTGCCCAACCTTTGGACGACGACCTACTTACGCTAGTGGCAGGTCCCACTGTGATCCCGCCGCCTCCTGCTTCAACTCATCTCACCGCAGTATATAAGCCACCTCTCTGGCCCTATTCTGCACTTCCTACAAGAGTGATGGACTGAACACATCGAATCCAGGTTGAGGGACTGATTACCTCAAACTTCTACTCTCCTTACCCACTTCTACTTTGTATTGGACTGATGAAGCCACTGTGTGGCGAAACGTTTCTTCAATAAAGATTCCCATGTGTTGCATAAGTGTCTCAATTCTTCAACTTGTCGGTTTTCAAAACCATTCATCACATATAGCATACATCTAGAAAGTGTACTGGCGTGTCAATAGCTTAATTGTTTAAATAAGACACTTGATAATTCCTGTTTTCTAGATACTATTTAAATTAAAGATAATGTATATATTGCATAATATACATCGCTTCATTTTTCAGACATGAATGTATTTTGTCTTATATAAATAGCTTGCAGCGGCATCTGGCCTCTGTACATTAGAAGCCTAAATATGCTTAAAAGTGGCTGATTGGTTAATTGGGTTTAAAGTCTATCGATTACACCAGGGTAAAGGCTGTGGATGAGGAAAACACTCACGGGTACCGTCATAGAAGCTAAGACATTGTATAGTTTTAAGTGGGTGTGGGTGGGTGAGAGTTGGACCTGACTAGCTTGGGCTACTAGGTAAGATGCCTTGCTTCTTCCTTAAGTGAATGTGACCTGAGCTGACTAGGTTAAGCCGGTAGGAGTATTGAACCTGCCTCGCATGGGCCAGTAGGCCTGCTGCAATGTTCCTTCCTCCTTATATGTCATCTACTCACCACCAAACAGGAATAATCCTTAAGAGTTAAATCAAGCTCTCTCTGTGCTCGTATATACAGAGATGTACATTTCATTGTGTAGATATCCTGCTGGTTGCTAATACGTTAATGGTTCTTAAAGAGTATTAACTAGACGAGGGTCAGTAATGCTACATGTCACCTGTACACTACCAGTCAACAATAATATCTGAAATAACAACCGAACTCTGTGTATATACACTGAGAAACATGGTTTAGAAAGACACGTAAGCAAACACTATAACATATTTATTAGAAAACGTTTCGGTCCTGGGACCTTGATCACTTCTAACATACATGTGTATATGTGTATAATGTTCGCCAAGACCATAGTCCTGGCACGGGTCCCAATCTTGCGATGACCCGTCTCTGGCTCCCGATGGAGAAAGGTTTCCACAATGATGCGACGCATGCCGCTCAAGCGCCCCTCTGGTCAGTTCAACTGGTGCATCTCATAAGCGACACCATATGTAACTATGGACACTAGCGAGGAGGAGGATATGTCATTATTACAGGTAACAGCTTGTCTGGTTCGTTGACCCCATGGTACACTAGCATGGCCGCAGTCATCTCTGGGTCCTCTTCGGGAGGGAATATCACCCCTAGTTGCCTGCGGAGTGTCTCAGTAGCTTCGCACTCTAGAAGATAGTGTGTTAGGGGCCGTTGGACAACGTGCTGACAGTACTGGCACATCTCCTCCTCAGCCTTGTCTACCATCATCTTGGCTGTGGGAAAGCCCAAACGAAGCCGATGGATGGCGGTACACTGCGCTCTGGACCAGCTTCTATCATATGGAGGGGGTTCTCCCTGAGTCGCTGCTCGGTACCACTGTTGAGATGGGGTATCACCTAAGACCTCCCCCATAAGTTTCGTGGCTCTGGCAGCCACCAGTTTGGTCTGTCGTAGGCTGATTGGGACAGTAATCCCAACATGTGGATAATCTGTTGCTGCCTTTGCTGCATCATCTGCCGCCTCATTCCCCCGGATGCCAGCATGGCTGGGGATCCAGTTCAATGTCGATCTATTACCCTGAACTTCTAAGGCTGTCATTATGCTCAGGATCGATGTGATGAGGTGAACATTATCCTGTGGTTGAGGATGGGAGAGGGCATTGATTGCAGAGGTGGAATCAACATGTATGACAGGTCGGAGTCGATGTCGTAGGGCATGTGACAATGCCTGCTGAATCGCCACCAGCTCAGCTTGAAGGATCGTGCAGTGGTCAGGGAGTCGCCAGCCTTGTGTGTGACCATTGTGGTACAGTCCAGCTGCTGCTCTCTTCCTATCAGGGTCGACAGAACCATCTGTGAAATACACTGCACATGTGCCTCCCTCTGCCAGTGCCATGCTTGTCTCAGCATGATTGCTGAGGGTGTCTCGACTGCAGAGACACTTAGAGATGGGCAGCCGCATGATGAAAACATCGGCTGGATCTGGGCGCCAGGGAGGTGGTGGATGGTACCCAGCAACAGGAAGGTCACAACTCTTCTCACAGAGCAGCTGTACAGGCAGCAGCTTCCGCCCAGCAGCACAAAACGAACGAATCCAGGAGTAGTCCGTGAAGAGTGTGGGATCTTGTGACATGGTTGTTAATATCCGTCTCCTTAGTGGTGTACCTTGCTGCCGGTGCAGAATCGTGGCCACTTTGCAGGCGTTTATGTATCTTACTCTGTCAGCCAAGGAAGGAAGCCGGGCCTCAGATCTGAGACATACTGTGTTGGTCCAGATGGGGGCACCAAGAAAAGTTCTTATCGCCTGGTTTTGTACGACCTCCACCCTTTGCCTGCTCTGCGGGAAGAGATGAGCTAAAGCCGGTGCACTGTAGTCAATGAGCGAGCGTATAGCTTGTATATAGTACAAGCGAAGTACATCTTTGCTTGCCCCTGCACGGTGCCTCGTCATGGCTCTCAGAGGTAGGAAGACATTATATATAGGCGGAGAGTGAGGTGTGACGCACGTGACCTGAGGAATGTCATAAGAACATAAGAATGGAGGAACACTGTAGAAGGCCTACTGGCCCATGCGAGGCAGGTCCTTATCAAAAACAACCTCTGCCTATGATGAGGACGGGTAGACGATGAAATCACGTGACTCCTGTGTTGTTGGGTTGGTGCTGCTTAAGTATCATGTATTCCCTTTACCTCTTCTAGATTTCATCAATCTAGTGGAACTTCGTGTTAATTTCAACTTCTTCAAGTATCAGGACAACTGTTACAAACAATGCTTTGGGATGGCAATGGGCAGCCCGCTCAGTGCTGTGCTTGCCAACCTCTTCATGGAAAACCTGGAGACAGAGAAATTCGGCACCCTCATTCCCAACACCGTTACCTGGCTAAGATACGTTGATGATATATTGGTTTTCTATCCGAGACGTCTCAATATCCAGGCCCTTCTCAACAAGATCAATGCAGTTGAACCATCAATAAAGTTTACACTTGAACTCGAAAATGATGGCAAACTTCCTTTCCTCGACGTTCTACTGTGCAGATCTCCCGACAGTGACAAACTTCTCTTCAAAGTGTATAGAAAACCTACCAACAAGGACGATCTTACACACTTTTATTCACACCAAGACACCCGCACTAAGAGAGGAGTCCTCATTGGCTTCTTCTTGAGAGCTCTTCGCATCTCCAGCCCTTGTTTTCTAGAAGAAGAATGCACTTACATAACACAAGCCTTTACACGTCTTCAGTTCCCACCTTTCTTCATCCGAGATTGCAGACTCGAGGCACAAGCTATCCTCAACAAACCGCCCATGGAACAGCCCCCTAAACAGTTTATAGTACTCCCATGTGGCGATGCTGCCACGAATACTCGCAGGGCACTTGCTATGAGTAACATCAACGTTTCCACCATAAACACATCATCTATCAAAGACCTCATACGAAAACGCAGCCCCACACCTCTAACTTCTACAGCAGGCGTCTACGCTATCCCCTGTGGGTTCTGTCCCAAGAAATATGTAGGCGAGACAGGCAGAGATCTTGCAGTCCGCCTGAATGAGCATCGAAATGCCTCTAACAGAGACGATGTAAGGTACGCATGTGTCCTCCACAGAGACTCCACGGGGCATTTGATGAACTGGAATGAGGCACAACTCGTTCTCACCGAACCAGACCTCAGACGCCGACGGTGCCTAGAAGCCTCACTAATCGCCGTCACCGACACTATAGAACGCAACACTGGAAACTACAAAATTTCAAAAACATTGGCATACATGATACTTAAGCAGCACCAACCCAACAACACAGGAGTCACGTGATTTCATCGTCTACCCGTCCTCATCATAGGCAGAGGTTGTTTTTGATAAGGACCTGCCTCGCATGGGCCAGTAGGCCTTCTACAGTGTTCCTCCATTCTTATGTTCTTATGACATTCCTCAGGTCACGTGCGTCACACCTCACTCTCCGCCTATATATAATGTCTTCCTACCTCTGTATGGGCTTGAGACAATCGTATTACGACAATCCATTGACACACACTCAGTTCACGGAGTTCACTACCTTATCACAAGATAGGCACATGGCTTCTGCCGAAAAGAAGAGGTCACGATGCTCCATGAACACGACGGAGGACTCAGATTTGGAAATGTGGGGCGAAATTCTAGCGAAGAAGTTGCGAGAGGAAGAGGAAGATCCTGCTCACATTGTAGCAGATCTGACAGTCCCAACCATGGAGCCAGCGACAATAGAAACAGGTGCGGAAATAAACACCCCACCCCACGAAAACCAAGAGGGATGGAACACTGTGGACAAGAAGAGGAAGCGCCATCCGTCCAAGGAGCAGGTAAACCAGCTCAACCGACCTGGCAAATTCAAGGTGAAGTCTTACGGGGACCACAGAACCCACTATGGGTTGTTTCATACCTGGAATCACGACACAACCTGAAGTTCAAGATATGGTTCAACTTGAGGGGAGAACCAATATTGACTCCTCTCAACAAGGAAATGTATGTACGAATGGTATATAATACCGACAAGATGAGATTAAGACACATGTGCAACATCTGGGTATCTTTATTGTAGACGTTTCGCCATCCAGTGGCTTTATCAATACAAAATTCTAGGACATAACTTGAAGACAGTAGAACTATGTACAGAAGATGAGGTAATCGGTCCCTCAACCTAGGAGTAGGTGCGAAGAGCACCATAGTCCATTCTGTAATATGGAGACCAGAACTGAGCTGCATAATCTAGGTGAGGCCTTACTAATGATGTATAAAGCTGCAGTATGACCTCTGGACTTCTGTTGCTTACACTTCTTGATATAAATCCCAGTAATCTAT